ATTAAAATTTTTATTTTACTAATATGAATAGAATTATAGAATCTAATAGATAAATAAATTTTCAAAAGTTTTATGACTGAATACCTATGAAAGCATTTATTATATTCCTAAATTTCATTTTCTAGAAAATTCACTTTTATTTCTCTGTTTTTAAGTTGTACCCATAGAAAAATATTTTCAGCAATTCTCTTAGAAACAAATCGTTTTCAATGTGGTAATAAAGTTTTTAATTTAATATTCGCTAATTAATTTTTAATAAAAGGTTTCTTAGTTTAGTAGAACACAAGAAATTCAAACTAATAGTAAATAGTTAAGTCCCGTGTTAGAAAGAATGAGAAAACATCTATAAAAACAAGTATTATTATACAAGAATTCACCAACATCCACACCCCATTTCACAAAGATTTATAAGATAAAAGTGAATTGAATTGAATCAGTATGAGTGATAAACAAATATCGAATTTTACTTTTGATTTGTAACAAACTCAATTTGTCCGTGCGATTATGTGATAATAACTACTTTTCGAAAATTTTTCATCCAATTTCATTCTCTCACACGAAAGATCTTTCTCAAAATAGAAATTATTAAATAAAAAAAACAAACAAATATTAGAAAATCTACTCGAAATAATCCATTTTAGTAAATTAATAAATAATTATAAGAATATCTTTAAAAAAAAAGCGAGTAAATATTATTCTAGCTTGTAACTCTAAAAAATTAAGCAAAATTGATAGAAAAATTAATTTTAAAATAGATGTTAAGTAATAAATGATTAATACTGAATTTTCTTTTATAGTCCTTTGTTAAAATAAACATAAGGTAATTGTGTTTTTGCTTGAATTTCTTTTTCAAGTTCATTAGTAGCCACCTATTGAATAAAATAAAAATTTGTTAGAACAAAAAAAAAAGAACAAAAGAGAATTTAATATTTACTTTAGATTTTTGTGGAAATAATGCTATTGACATTGGTAATGCTAAGCCAAATGAAAGTGTACATGCAAGTGTATTTAATGGTAAACTAAGACGTGGAAAACGACGAAGTAGATTTCTATTAATTAATAATTTAGTTTCTTACTTTATTTATATTAATAAAAACAAAAAATCTTACTTTTCGAATGCTAACATTATAACAGGTGGAAAGAAAAGAATTGGTACCGGTAGAAAAGCACGTGTCATTGCCATTTCAGTTAAAGCCTAAAGAGAAAACTTAATGTATATTTATATCGATATGATATTTCTAAAAACACAAAAAAAAAAATGTTAATAACTTTTTTAGCAGCTAATTTTGATACACCTATTGGTTTATTTTGTTCATCAAGTACTTCGATGCCTTCATACAATTCGTGAAAACGCATAAAAAGAACGTTACATGTACTTGCACATGCTATAATTAGAATGAAATATAAATAAGCATATTTATGAAATTTAAATATGCACAAAACAATGCGTTAGTGGTTTTCAAAAATTTTCACTTCTTTTATCCTTTTATTATATTTTCTCATTGAACAGAAAAGCCCGAGTGATTATCATATAAAGATATGTAATTAATATTACCGACAGCAGGTAATGGAACAAATCGTTGTACAACTGTTTTAAGTGTTGGTGGAAGTGATTTTGCTCGACGAATAGCCATAGTAAGACCAACCTGACAGTATAAAGATATAAAGATATGTGAAAATAGATGAACCACTTACAGCAATTGAAACTGAAACAGTAACTGCACTTAAATATCCAATAGCAAATTTCGATACAGGTGTATGTTGTGTTGCATTTCGATTTGCATAATTGACACCAGCATTATGACTAAATGATGATAATTACTTCATAGTTGTGAAGTCTTGTTTGGTTTCCTTTTAAGGTACACATAGCGGAAAATTGGAAAAAGTACACATTTAGATTTTATCTTTTGTTGTATTGTCGAGAAAATCGAACATTTCCCTGTTCGAATAGTAAAAGCATCAAAAATGACCTTGTTTACAAAGTTCAATTGATAAACAAAATAAACAGCATATTCAGAATCAGCAGAAAAATCTATGCTGCATTACATACATTTCAGCAAATGTTGTGTCAAATGGAAAATTAACTGGAGGCAAAATTTTAGAAGAAAAATATTGAGTGGAAGTACAAGTATGTTTTCCATGTAAAAGTAATTTTACTAAAATGTATGTAGTCTAGTGTTGATTTTCACACTGATTCTCTATATGCTATTGATTTTGTTTACAATTAAGAGTTGATAACAGAAATTGTGATCAACAAGGTCATTTTTGATTAAAACCAAGAAATGTTTGGTTTTCTCAACAATAAGACAACATCTGAAAAAAATCTAAGTATGTAATTTTGTAGTTCGAAACCAGCTGATTCAAATGAGATAAGATATTTGTGGTCTTATCTTCTATCATTAAAAAACCCCAAATAAGTTTGCAAAAAGCATATATACATGCATATTATAAGCCTACATATCTTGATAGCGGTTTTTTACACTATTTATTTTAAATCTGAGAAAATAATATTTTTTTTACTTAGCTTTTGATGCTTAGTTTAAAAAAATAACTATTATCAAAAAGATTCTAGAAACTTAAGAGTTGCTTTGAGGAAAAAAAATGATTTTGGTTATATCTATGATCTTATCAGTAATTGGAGCTTTTTGCAATGAAATGATTACCTAATTGAAATAAAAAGTGTATATTTGTAAACAACTGTTCAAGCTCTATCAAACCATATAGAAATCAATGAATAATAAAATTTACTCCAATTTTGCAATATGTGTATCTTAAAATAATTCTATTTATATACCTTTGATTCAGCCATTGCCAAAAAATAATTTGTTTGAGTGTTGGATCTGGCATAAGAAGACCAACAACAATTGGTGTACCAAATGGTACATATCCTTTAATAACAAGAAAGCCATAAAATGTATTAAGCAATAAAATAAATAAAAGATTGTTTAGAAGTGATTGGCAAATATTTGTTAACTATAGGTGAAAGGTCTCTATTTCATAGGATAAGAATAGAAACCATGCTGAGAGAATACGTATTGAGAAAGAAAAAGGTATTCACATAATAAAAATCTTACTTTAAATAGTGATTGATATATTGCTTCAAAAAAAAGAAAAAGAAAATTAAAGTATATTTTCACTTTTTCTTTTTTTTTTTTTTCTTTTTAAAACAATTCTGTAATGTTAAATTTAAGAAATATTTTTATTGCTTTTCTTTTTTGGTTTCAATGCAAGTAAATTAATTAAAAGAAATCTTACCTGCCATTCGAAACGGCATAAAAATTTTATGTCCTGTATCAGGATGAAGAATAGCCTATTAATAAATTTATAAAATCTCAATAACATTAAAAAAAAATATTATAAAAATAAAACCTAACTTGTACGACTTTTTGTGCTTCCCATAAATCTTTGTCAGTAATACCTGGTGGTAAAGTTTTTGATTGATATTGTTCAAGTAATTGCTGACATTCATTTAATTTAGACTACGAAAAAAATAGAATCAAGTTAATGTAAAAGACTATTGATTTGATTTACATTGCTGACAAATAATGTTCGTGGATCAATAATATTCATAAAATGTAAAAATCGTCCCCAATAAGTATTCTAATTAAATATTCGATTTAATTCGATTAAAAATTGACTAAAATTAAGCTTACGAGATCATAACGGCTTTTGCCTAATTCAAATGGTGGATAAGACATTATTATCTAAAAAAAGCAAATAAATAGTCATTTTGTTGCTACGGGCCTCTTTTATTTTCTACGTAAACTTGTTTTCATTCTGTTTTTTTCTTTCTTCGCTTTACATAAGAAAAGAAAGAAGAAAAATAAATGTCGTCGCTACCTACCACTACGGTCAAGGATCGAGACTCAAATGATAATAACGATCGCAAGAAAAATCTACAACACCAACCAGATTTTATTATTAACCTACTTAAAAAAAAATTATTCAACAGTTGGACTTGATATGAAATATTGTAAACAAAAACAAAAAAAAGTCTTGTTTTTTTAACTCAGTTAAATTCAATTTTTTTCTTTGATAGTCAAAGATAAAAATAATCATGTACCATTTACACGTTGTCGCACATGTGAACATACATGTACTATTTATGATTTTGAACTTGAAGATCTTGATTTACAAAAACAATCATTATTAAAATATAAAAATCAATTATGTTTAATTGTTAATGTAGCTACATATTGACGTATTACATCACAATATATACAATTTAATGCATTACAAGAAAAATTTTCTAAAACAAATCAATTTACTATTCTTGGTATATCATGTAATCAATTTGGTTATCACGAACTAGCTGAAACAAAAGATGAATTATTAAATGCTTTGAAATATATTCGACCAGGAAAAAATTTTATTTCAAAATTTCCTTTATTTTGGATAATTGATGTTAATGGTAAAAATTAAAACATTCATTATATGAATATTTAAAATATTGTATACCATCAACAAATAAATTTTTTGAAGATCATACAAGAATTTTTTATAAACCACATCATTCCGATGAAATTTTGAAAAATTTCTTATCGATTCAAATAGATATCCAATAATGAGATTTGATAGTGATACTGAACCATTATTTATTCGATAATTTATTGAAAAACTTCTTCAATTAAAGCAATACATATAAAATAAAAATAGAATAAAAACATTCTTTTTTTTTTCTTTTTTTTTATTCATCTTATTATCGTAATGACGACATTTTGTAAACCAATTAGGACGAATAAGTTGGACAAAATTGTTTTTATATAATCTATGTCTCTTCAATACATTCAATTCACAGATATATATATAAACAAATAATAAGATGAGTAAAAATATTGAAAAAAATAATAATAAACTGAGGTGTAAAATCTATTTTATCTGAACGATAAAAAATAAATGTCGGATTATTACATAAAAAAGGTCAACAAATGACTAGAAAAATAAAACAATAACTGGCTTAGGAACTACAAAAACTAAATGTTAGACGTTTATTTATTTATTCAATGAGATTTATTAGTGTTGTTAGAGATTGTTGATTGCAATAATGGAGTTGCAGCAGCACCTTCTTCTAATATTGTAGGACCTAAATAAAAATAAATAAAAATAATATTTCTTTTTAGTTTTTTTTCTCTAATCAAAATATAGAAGATTTCGTACTTCGCTTTCCTTCTTTGATATCAAGATCATGTTGATTTGAAATTCCACAACAAAAATAGCAAAACAATATAGAAAAAATATCAAATGATATGATCGTTAATAGAACAACTAAGAGAATTATTTTGGCTTGAAGTGATAATGACGGTTGAGTATGATCTATTAAATCATATAATTCAAACAAAATACAATAGAATAAAATAAATCAAGAAAACTAACGGTAATCACATTGAGCTTCATCAACATTATTCGGACAATTTTGATATCGATCACAAATAAGACTTCGATCAATACAATACGTATCCGTAAAACAATCAAAACCGCATAATGTAAACATTCCTACAAGTTATAAATATATATATATATATATTATTTTTTAATCAAATTTTATTTGTAAACTTACGTGTTTTTATTTTTAATGGTGTAACTATCATTGCAAATTTTGATATAGGAAATTTTTCTCTTCGATCAAAAGTTATTGTTAATTTTTCAGTATCTAAATAATATTCACTACCTTCTGTTACATTACAATCAATTATAATCTTAAACGAAACAAAAAAAGAAAAATCATTATTAATTATAATTGAATATAGAGGTATCAAACTAATGGGCTGCAAAATTTTTAAGATATAACCGCCACTAACGCTCAAGTAATTCAATCATGACACAAGAATAGATATTTGATTTTTCAGAATTTTCGACGTCCTACATCAATTTTTCAAAATATTAATGTCTGCTCTTTTATCATTGAGTATTCTATTATTTAATTACCTTTTCACCGGATTCAGATTGAATAGTAACATTTTCTGATAAACATAATGGTGGTTTAAGTAAGCGAATATAAAATTTTGTTGAAACTAATATATTACTCATTTGAGATAAATTACGTGGATTTGGAAAGCAACAACTTTGTAAATTTAATTCACATTTACCGGTCCATGGAGTTCTAAATAAATATAAACGAAAGTACTAATTCAATGAAGATTTTTTTTTTTCTAAAACAAACCCAGCATATCGGACAAGACCTGCATCTGGTGTATATGTATTCCCTGGATTACAATATGGTCCATAGATATTTTCAAGATTAACTAAAATAAATAATGAAAAAAATTTTATTGTAATAGTTAAGAAAGAACCAAAGCGTTCTTACAATAAGTCATTTTAGCTAAGGTAGAAGATAAGCACAATATTAAAAAAAAATGAATTATTAAGATCATCTAAAAAGGAACAAGAAAATTTATTGATTGATTGAATATTTTTTAATATATAAATATTAATTTTATTTATAAAACGTTGCTTTGTTTTTTATTAGTTAACATACAGTTTTTATATTTTATTTTGAAGAAATGCACATATAGGACAAAAAAAAACAGCTAGATTACATCAAAATGACAAGCGAAGACCTTTTTTTCCTCGTTTGGGATCGATTACATATCTGGCTTCATTCAAGATGATGATAAACAGATTTCATAAAATCAATAATCAATGGTGTTGATTCATTATATTACTGAGTTAAAACTTCAATTACACATAAAGCAGTAGGATATTTCTTACAGCTAGCATTTTCATCCGTAGCAACAGCTATGTGACCTTCTTAAAATTCAAACTCTTTAATTAAATTCTATAAGAAAAAAAATTAAATTTACTTTCAATTGAGTTTTCTTTTGCGCAGCATGAAAACAATGAGAATGATCGCATTCTATGCAGTACGGCAACAATAACAAATTAAAGCTTTTAATTAAATACAAGCAATAAGAATAACAACATTTGATTTTTAAAAACTACACAAGTCGACAGTAGTGGATGTTCTTGCCATCCATTCTTTCCAGTTTCTTATTTTTCTTGATTGATCATCGAAGAATCTTTTTCATATTGAAGCTCAGACAAGGTGCTTTTCAACAAGAAAGAAAAAACCAATTCTTGCCCGAAGTTCAAAATGAAAAGAATCTTGCAGTATTGATACAAAAAGAAAATAAGAAAATGGAAAGAATATAGAAGATATTTAAGTTTCCTTAAAACTCAGACAAGATTCTTATCTGACTCTCAAGACAAGTAGCGCGTGATGTTTATGTACACAACAGTTTGGCGTTCTTAAGAATTATCCGGAAGCGGAACTCCGATTCCGAGTCCGTTTCCGATTACTAAAAATGAAAAAGAAATTGGTTCCTGTTACTAGAAATGAGAAAAAAATAGTCGCGACTCGATTCTCAAAATATTACGTGAAACCGAAACCATTAAATTACCAGATAGAATTGGAAATTTTAAATATATTTGGAGAAGTTTTCATTATTGAATTGTTAAGACTACAGACGTCATATATTTCAGTATTTAAATAAAACAATATTATATATACAGGATATTCCAAAATTATGGAACTCCCTACAGATGTTGTCAAAAAAAAATGTTTTCAATTTTAAGAAATAACTGACATGAACTCTTTAAAATTCCAGAAATATTTTTTGACAACATCAATAGAAGGTCCTATCATTTTGGGATACCCTGATATCCACCCCGGAAAAAAAAATAGTGTCACTCAATATTTTCCATGTATCATCACTATAAATTAACATTATGAAAAAAGTAATTATGTATTCGAATAGCTTGTGAAATTTTCTACAACTCTATATATGTCAGTTTCGAATTACATTTATTCGCTAAAACATAATTGAAAAACAGTAAAGGTACTCTCAGGCGTACAGAATCTACTCGAGTACGCGAACGGTCGTTCGGGTAAATTTTTGAAAATTTAATAGTATCTGAGGAAATTTTTTGATAAGTATTTTCTTTCATGGGAGAAATTTTTCAATGAGTCCCAGTTTATTTATGTATACATCGATAAGACCTTTTATTTTTCTTTTGAATAAACTTCTAAAAGACTTATCCGTGTCCCTGTCGTAGTGTCAATATCGTCTACCTTTGTTTATGTTCATCATGCATGTTGTCATTTCTTTCACTCTGTCTCTTCGTGTCTATTCTTGATACAATACACACTGTTTGTGTTCTCTTCTCTTCTTTTCTTTCTATAATTCTGCCTAATAGAATGCCACTATTTGCTGTTTTTTTTTCTCTGTTGCTGCATAACAGTTGCTATTATGTATATGTGGGTATGAGTACATAACCACTAGGATGACTAATATATGGTCATCAGCAACTGAACTGAACCTTTGTTTTTGGTTGAAGTTCAGTTCAATTCGGATTTACTTTTGAAAAATTATTTCGGGTTCGGCTAAGTTTGACTTCATTTCTGAAAAGTGGTTAGAGTGTGGCTCTATTCTAGTAGTCCTAGTTTCATCGAATCAGGAGGGTACGATAGGTAGAAATTTGACTGTGAGATGATTAGCGTGTCATTTTGGAGTTGATATCGGTGTAAATTAATACTTATTGCAAATTCACTCAATAATTATTTTAGCCGAATGAAAGATAGACGATGATTATTTCATATAAAAAAGTGAACAATACCAACTTTGAAAACTTGTTTCGCCTGTTTCAGTTAGTTTAAATCGTTTACGAAGAGTACAAATAATCAGATTACCTGAATCAAACGATATTAAATAGTAGCATTTTTCAAATGCGCATTCGCGATGTGTTAAATAGTGGTAGATGTTTTTTTTTGTGAATAAACATCTTCAACAAGAAAACTCGTTTTTTAATTGAATTTTAAAGTGGGAAAATTTTTTATTTTACCGGCAGATTCTGCACGCCTGGGCATCCTCATCGTCAGAATCCCCGAAAATGCATTTTTTTTTCTTTTTCATCGATTTTTTTAAATTTATTTTTAACATAAAAGCAAGTTATTACAAAACTAAGTATAGAATCTTAAAGTGTACGAAGGTCTTTATAATTCTGTACTCTTCCAGCCATTATTAGCTATGATTTGGTTAAAAATATTTGGTATATTATTTATATACACACGTATGATGTCTTCAGGAATCATATTCCATGCTTGCTCAACTAACTGTTCTAAACGTTCTTGAGAGTTTCGATTATTTCTTTGTGCGTGCCAATTCATTCAAGATGACACCCCGTGTCAACAACGTTTAAAACAGTTAGTTGAGCAGGCATGGAATGCGATTCCTGAAGACGTCGTACGTGTGTATATAAATAATATACCGAATATTTGTAATCAAATAATAGCTAATAATGACTGGGAAAGTATAAAGTAATAAAGACTTTCGTGAACTTTCAGATTATATACTGAGTTTTATAATAACTTGTTTCTATATGAAAAATAAATTTAAAAAATCGATGAAAAAGAAAAATAAATGCATTTCTGGGAAGTCTAACGACGAGGGTGCCTTTACTGTTCTTCAATTAAGTTTTAGCGAACAAATATAGTTCAAAACTTACATATATAGAGTTCTAGAGAATTCCAGGGGCTATCCGAATATATAATTACTTTTTACAAAATGTTAATTTATAGTGATGATATATAGAAAATATCAAGTGACACTATTTTTTTCAGGAGGATATACGACCAAAATCACTCGTTAGTAACCTGACTTCGCAAAATTAAAATATATGTGTCTCGGGATGATGAACTTTACAAAACCTAATTTTTAAATGTTACTCGTATGTTAAGTTACTCTAGATACGCTGAAAAAATTAATGCTAGACACCTTTGTGTAGAGGAATTATCAGGAAAAATCTAATGTTTAAAAGTACATCGACTTTCACTTCATGTATTTTACTTTCAAAACAATTCTAAATTGCGGCAACATTTTTGAAAACTAAATATAGACAACTTCTGAGGCTATAAAATCTCTATCTAAAGTTCTTTTTCTGAGCATGCTTAGATTTTTCAAACGAAAATCAATTTACTCTTCGTAAGTGACATGGCGAAGTACGAAAAACTGCTCTTATAACCGATTGAGAAGTTCAAAACCAATTCCAAACAGTACAAATCTTTTTTCAGAATATCTAGATGATGGTAGGACGAAAAGTTTTATTTCGGAACTTGATGGGACTTCGAGAAAACTGAGTTTTAGGAGAAAGTTTATTTTAGAGTCTGCTCTTGCTAAAAATTCCTCCATAGATACAATTCGTACCGTAAAGTTTATTCTGAAGTTCCCAGATTTTTTTCTTCTCATATGATTAGAGAAATATTCGCTAGTTACTTTTCTTTTAATTAATAACTAGCTGAAAGAGCCAACATTTTTACATATGTCTATGCTAAAAGAAGTTATTTAGAAAAATAATCTTTGTAAAGAATCGAAGTCAAATTAAAGGTGAGCATATCCAGTTTTGCCTGAAATAGCTCAAATACGAACGTTTAAACGTTAGTTATCCATTTCTACGCGACGATAGTTAATATTTATTGTGTTCAATTTAAGTTTTTTTCTACAATGTACTTTATTATGTCTATGAACGCTTATAATCATGTTCAATTTAATGAACAACAGTTATCTAGTTAATCAATAACAATTCTATTAAGACGAAGAACTTCGACAATAATTGAATATTTATCAGTTCTAGATGACGTAGAGATGAAGACAACGATCTATAAAAGCTACGTATTTTTAATATAGATAGATTGCTTCGATTATTTTTTTCTTTTTTTCTCTTAATAATGTACTTGTTAGATTTATAGTCTGACTGTATAACTGATTTTTTTTCGTTCTTTTCATTCATCATTTTTAATATTCTTTATCTTTTCTTTTTGCATGTTAGATGAAATGGGATGTATTTTCTTTTTGTACCTATCTTTTACTTTTTCTGCGTATTTTACTGAAAGTTTGTAGTAAATATAAAACACAAGTGACATAAGATAATCATATTGATCTATAAAGTGCCTATACTTAAATCACAAGGAACAGACAGACAGAGATTTGGTCTACATCGATCTTATCAGTAAGTCAAGAATCTGGAAAAAATAACGATAAGAACGTTGACTATTAGTAAAAGGTGTGTACATCCGTCCTATAATTGTAAATTATTCGTTATTGTCTAGTAAAAATAGCAAGATTATTTTTTTAAATTTTGACTGCCCCTGTAAGACTTTCCCTAATACACCTCTTCCTCACAACCTTTGCATTCTCGTGTATCCTCTGAATAAATAAATGAGGATAATCTCGTGGACATTGAAATAGTATATCTCTATCCGTGCATGGTTCTTAATATATTTCGAATTTCAAAAGAACAAATATTCATAATTTACTCATTGCTAATGCGACAACTTATAAATTTGTTGACTGTTTTGACGTTAAATATTAATATTTTGTTTAAACGTTAATCTTATCAAATTACTGACATTGTTATTTCAGTATAACTCATATGATATTCATTTTCCACAGGTAATAGTGTTGTCTATATAAAACAGATATTCTACTATAAAGATACAGTTCATAGTAATTGCCTGTTTTAGGTAAAGTACTATTCAGTAGACATTCGATTGTTACACTAACTTGATACTTTATTATTCGAAAAATAAACATATCAAACCTGCTTTACATATTTAGAAATACGTACGGAATAACTATTATTTTCATGATTAAATTTTGGTGAAAAATTAACTAGGCCAGTAAATTTTTTTGTAATTGTATTATTATTATTATTTATTAAACAATTTTTATTTGAATAAATATTAAGTAAAAATATTCAAACAAAGAAACGTTCTATCATTAGGATCTAATGATAAAATATTTAGTGTTAAATAAATAAGAATACGAAATTTCATATTAATCTAAAAAATAAAATTATAT